TTGGGTGGAGGTCCTCTGGGACCTCCGTAGGGACCTCCCCGACCATAGCCTCCACGAGGAGGGTATCCACCTCTTCCACGAGGAGCGAAACCGGGCGGAGGCGGCCCTCGTCGCGACCCCATACTGCCGTCCGAATACTGGGGACGTAAGCGAGGATCACCAGGTCCAGGCCGCAACCGAGGTCCTGGGCCGTAGGAACCCGCGTATGGATGATTTCTTGACTCGTCGAAAGGTGCACTCGACGGCATTCCATCGCCGCGGCCTCGTGCAGCATAATGACTATCTGGCGGAGGAATATCAGTCGGAGCTACCTGAGAATTGAGAGGCGTTTGGTCATCATCGCTAGAATGTGTCGTCGTGCGGAAGGTAGCGAACATTGGGCCGGAATCTGAATTAGGGGAGGTGGTAACGATGGCCTCTTTTGCTTCGGCGTTCAAGGCCTCTGATCTTGGACCAGTGAATCCGCCGGCGACAGCCGCCGCCGCCGCATTCTGTCGGTTGTAGTAATTCTCCCCACTCATTTCGGCATTCTCTGCGATGCGCCTCTTTCTCGCTTTGCGACTGACCAGAGTCCGGCGCATCGCGCAAGTGACCACGCCGCTGATCACCAGCAGAATTGTGGCACCCAATACAATCCAGCCTCCCCATCCTAGATGCGGTACAAAAAGAAGAATGTCCACCAAGAAGGCGAGGAGAGAAACTAGGAGTGTCGGAAGTAGGAGGATCAAGAGTGCCAGAAGATATCGGGGCGAATGCGACGGGGCATGTAGGTGAGCAGCCGCGGCGAGGCAAAGGCAAACGAGGGTGAGGAAGGCGGCGACCGGGTGAACGATTAGAATGGAGGATAGGGACCTTCGAGTACTCGAGGGTAGATCGAACTCGCTATTGTCGGTGTTTGAAATTTCGTCTGGAGGATGTCAGCTACGGTAGCCGCCAACCCGCTGCTGTACGGGCGAAACCACATACCAGTAGTGTAGCCGATATGGATGTTTGTGCATTGGCCGGCCTTGCAAAAGCCAAAGACACCATAGTCCACATGGTTGAAAGTCGCTAAAGGGATACCCTTGATAATTGGGGTGGAAAGAACGGAAAGAAGCAAGAGAACAAATGCCGCCAGGAGAAGGATGGTGAGGGGCGTTGCAGGCTTGAGTAACATGGTGGAATTGGGGCGGCGACTTCGCCGTTAACGAGAGACGTGAAGGACAGTTGGAGAGCGACCGAGGGAAGGGTGGTCAAGATAGGTGACGAATCCTGGATGACAGCGACACACGCGGTCGACGCAGAACCTGGAAATCACAGGATTGAAGGTGACATTGCTTGCTCTTCTCCTGAAACTCGGGGCGGAAGATCCAGTGGGTACGATAAGAGATGAGAAGGGGTAGATCAAAAACCAGACAATCTACTCAGACCCTCAAACCAAGGGAAAGGGGGATAGGGCACAGGACTGAGGAACAGATATGTCAAGGAAGCGCTATCTTTAACTGAGGGAGGGAAGAAGTAGCCAGTCTGGCTCTGGCTCTGGCTCTGGCTCTGGCTCTGGCAAAGTCTAGTTAAGAGGACTACTCCGTCGTTAGCCATGCAATTATTGCTGCGCATTGCGGATGACTTCTTCCAAGCGAGCGGGCAGCTGCCTGAGGCGTCCATGGTCGCCACTTACACTTCGATTTTGCTATCTTTGACTGACCTTTATAGAATACTCTACGACTGTTTCAATATTGTTGTAGAAATAGGAGTCTCGAACTTTGGGATCGCCTTACATTGATGATCAATATCTATAATTATTGCTTTTACGCTGTTGCCTTTCCAGTCCTCCTCCCTGTCTTGTGGCCCTTTTTGTGGCGGAGTCGGCCGTGCTAATTTCATAATGATTGAGAGCATCCTTCCAATGTCTCTAGGCAGGGTTTTTCTCTGATTTGTTGTACCACAGATGACCGTTATGTGGGGTGATATTTCCATGCAGCAAATTAGTCCATGGTGTGAAATTGCGCTACCTGAAAGCTACGTATAAATGGAAGGCTCCTGCTCTCTACTTCGGCGTATCCAGATTTGCCCTCAACGGTGGCTCACGTGATGTGTTTTTTTTTTTTTTTTTTTTTTGATCTGCAATATGATCAAGGAGCGCATTTGCTGAACCTGTAGATAGATACTAGGTAATTACAAATCTCTATTCAATTGACTTCTGCTTTGGTTTATGTTGACACATTTCTCTGGCAATTCTCTGATCTCCACATTGTTTGAGCAAGACTAGCGCAATGAACCAAGGAAGACTAGTGCAAACGCAACTAAAAGCTGCACCCACTGTCAACTGAAAAGATTAGTTCATGTTGATACTGATCAGGCCATGAAGATTGAAGAGAATGGAAGTCTCTAGTCAATAATCCAGTAATCTCATGTTGGATAAAATTTACAGATGGATTTTGAGCCTCATATGGGGAGCATCAAACGAATCCACCTTGACGTTAGCCCGCAATGCGTCCGAGTAAATGAGTTCAAACTCCTACGGCGAAAGTCCGGGGGAGCGTGCCACCGACACCATAACAGTGCGCTATTACACAACCCCCGGATTGGTGGGTTCTTCTTTGGTGGATCTTTTCCAGAAGCCTATCTATATTCAGAAGGATGGGTCCATGAACGATTGCGAAGATAAGACAAAAGAGCCCAGACAACATCATAATCTGTAGACTGTAGACGGATTGCGTGCACCTATTTAGCTGATCTCAGAGAACCCGACAACCAGTTGAAGTTGATGTCTGCTGTGGAACATCCTAAGCATCCGTTCAGGCCAAGATAAATCACTCGCTTGGTGCCTCGGCCCCAGAATATCATCATGCAACCTGCAGAAAGGGCCTCTCTTCATTCCATCTTTGAACGTGGGTAACGGATTTCTGATAGGATATGTGATCGGCCTGCGCCCATAAACATTGTATAACAATGTTGCGTTTCCCTGCTCCCTTCCTGCAACAAATATATCATGGCGCATAGAATCCTAGCTGCTGACCACACATGGTTGAGCTGCGAAGGCATAAGGGACTCTGATCAAAAGTCAGCGTTGGGTCGCTACATCAGGACGCCAAAGGTTCGGCACCGGTGGCTCATGGGTAGCACGAAAATGAGGCGTAAAACAGAGCGAAATAAAGGATTCCAAACTACAAGCATTGGGCTGTCCTAGCACAATCAGCGACCAGTCTCATCTTCTGCATAGGCTGGGCGGGGGGTGTCATCTCGCGCACTCGACTGGAAGAGAAGCTTGAAGATCTTGCTCCTGAGCAAGAGCGAGTGGTCTCATGTGACACTGCAGGAAAAAGCATCACCTGCGATGCAGGCTACCTTTCAAGTCCAGCACCCAAGGAACACTTGAGAAACTCAAACTGGTGATTTTTGCCTGAGCTACGAAGGGTCTGTGTCACCAATCTTGAAGATCTGTCTATATTTAAGAGACAGAACCTGCTGTGTGCCTTCCTGAACACGGAGAACATCGAAGCTCTGTACCGATATACCCCGCAGATCAATTTGAGAACCTATCCAGTCATTCTGGTCGAAAAGATAGCTGGTCCAACTATTTTCATTAGGTTTATTCATCATATCTCGGCTCATGTGACTCCATATATATGACCGTACTTCATACTCAAGGGCGTACCATCAATGAATCCTGAGCGCCCTCGACATGCTTGGCTTCTGGAAGGCGTCGGCTTGGCTTCGATCCAGAGTATCCGAACCGGGCGAGGATGATGACCAACGAGTTCTACTGCTCCCCAAGGACAGTCACAACATCCCGCGGACCTCTCTTCGTCCTCGACCAAGAGACGGGCTCCCAACCACAAAAGCCTCACAGCAGCGTTATGTGCACTTTGGAATTGGTGGCGCTGGAAACGCATGCAAGTATGGTTGCCCTTTCGCATCTCGTCCTCTGGTCTGCTCAAATCCGTCCATATTGTCATATCCGGATTACACATCGTTACTCTTGATCATAATTTTCATAATTGTCTACTAATCGTGCAACATACAGGGCCTCAATATGTGATAAACAGCCAATCAGATTAACTCCGCAGCGGATGCGTCGGCCGGTCCAAAGCAAGGGAGGTATTCGGGAAGCAGAATGAGACGCGAGAGGCTCAGCATGACGCAGGTCAGAACAAGCAGAAGTAATCAGGAGAAATATCTCCAAAATCAGGAAGAAGAACGCGCGTGGGTTATCACCAGTGCTGGTGTGGAAATACAGACTTGAACGATTCCATGATTCCTTGCCTTCCATCCGCTTTGGCATGCGCCAAAATCAACACATGCGATCCGCATCCCCTGAACTGCTGCAATGTCTCAGTTCTGATTGTCAACATTGCTGGCTTGGTCTCGATTGTTTCTGGGACAATGTCAATCTTGTGATCAAGTCAGACCTTGTTCTCTGCCCCACAAACATTACAATATGAGCAACTCCGCTGCGGGCCAAGAGCCTGAACTTCTCAGTACCGCACCAGTGCTAGTACTTGCGGCCATGTCTCTCTTCTCGATTGTCAATGTTCTAGATTCTCCCAAACCCTGAGGAGAATTCCAGTTAAGGGTGGCCATCGCGACGCGGAATCCAGTAGACCTGCCCCTGCCGGGACCCGCACCCAAATATGCTCGACCAACTTGCCGTATGGGTCGAGCGACATAAACAAGTCTACCAAAATCTAATGCCACAATGCCATTATTTTGCTTCATCTGTGTGCTTTTGTGCTTTCACTGCCCGTTCTCGACCTTGCTAAGTCGGGGGGAATCGTCCTGTCTTTTCCTCTTCTCCTTCTACAGTTGTTCAGCCACGACATCTTATTCCTATGGGAGTCCAAGCGGTCCCGGTTGTTTCTTTTCTTTCACTTGGTTTGTTTTCTGAAGACAAGGTGCTCTGAACATGGTGTCTTTTCCTGCAGTTGTCTGTGTTTTAGCATTATTCCTTCTTCCGACACGCATCCGCGCAACAGCGTTGGACAAGGAACCTGGAGACTTTTACTTTCCACCTCTAACATATGTTCCTCAGCTACTGTACATTTCCCTGTGTTCAACTTCTACTTACCCAGGCTGACTTGAGCAGTGGAATCCCTTTCACAGTCCAGGACGACACTCCACAATCATGGCACAATCCTGCGACAAATGTTACCCACCAGCCAAATCAACAGAGCTCATCTTGTACAGCCGCAGGGACCGGCTCATCACAATTTTGGTACGAAAAGATAGCCCACAACGGCCAATCCTCGTTTCTGAGCACGGACGTGAAGAAGAACTACCCAGTCTTTCGTAATGTGGTCAAAGATTTCGGCGCCGATAACACCGGCCAAAATGACGCAGCTGGTGCTATTCAAAATGCTATCGAAGGTATTGCGGCCTCCTCAAAATTCTAAGCAGCGCACCGAATGCTGAAATTCACACAGCGGGGGCATCCAACGGTCCCAAGCGCAATGCTCGGAGCATGGGCACAACTGGTCAACCAGCAATCGTGTATCTTCCCAGCGGCACCTACCTGATGAAAAGCAGTTTGCAGTTTTTCGTGGGTACTGTCCTGGTTGGGGACCCGACAAATCCACCGGTCTTGAAAGCAGCACCGGATTTCCGCGATGACCATATTATTTTCGGGAAAGACCCCAATGTCGAGGGCACAAACAACTTCTATATCGGACTCAAGAATGTGATTCTGGATTCGACCAGTGTCGATACAGCACGAACCATCGCGCTGGTTGACTGGACAGTGAGTCAGGCGACGCAATTGACTAATGTGGTGTTCAACATGCCCACTGGTTCCAATGCACACGTCGGGCTGACCACTCAGTACGACTACAACAGTAACATTATTGTGGTGGGTACTCTTTGATATAGAGTTTAAATGGCTGTTAACGTGCCATCGATTTGCAGAATGACCTGCGCTTCAATGGGGGCGCTATTGGGATGAAACTCAGTGGACAACAATGGGTTTTTAAGAACCTCACTTTTAGTGGGACGACCACCGGCGTGGTAGCTGGAGGGACGAACATTGTGTTCCTCGGATGCCGGTTCGAAAACGGGAATGTTGGGATAGACGCCAATGGTACATCCGGATCCCTGATCATCATCGACTCGAAGGGATCCGGGTTGAACTCATTAGTCGTATCTGGCAACTCCGGGGGCGCTGGAAATGCGATCATCCTGGAAAATGTCGAGAATTCTGGCACCACTGTCAGCTTGGGGAACAATCCAGTGCTTAGTGGAAATATGCCGGATACTTGGGTGCATGGCAACTTGGTAAGGGCTCATTCAACTTAGGAATAGGGCGTTTAGACTAACGAATCCCAAGTACTCCGCTGGCAACACCAATAAAAACCACGTGGAAGGCCAAACTGTGGTGACCAAACGAGTAGCCGACCTTCTGGTGGGTGGGAAGAACTATTTCATAATGCCTCCGCCGACATACAGCGAATTTTCTGCTCAACAAGTCCTGAATATCAAAACAGTTTCTGATAAACCGGTATATGGCGATGGCGTGACCGATGACACAAAGAATATCAACGACATTCTGGCTCAGAATCGTGACTGCAAAGTTATTTACTTTCCGGCCGGCACGTACATCGTCACGGACACCATCTTCGTTCCTGCTAACATTCGCATTGTTGGGGACGCTTATGCCTCGGCCATCAGTGCGTCCGGCAGCAAGTTCACTGATATTAATGCAGTCCGCCCTATGGTTCGCTTCGGGTATCCGGGGGATGTCGGAGTACTCCATGTGAGCGATATGCTGTTTACAGTAGCTGATGTGTTGCCTGGATGCCAAGTGGTGCGTATACCTTCTGACACTAGTTCTGAACATTCGATTGACCCATATCTCTAGGTGGAAGTGAATATTGCGGGCAATAGCCAAGGGGACGTCGGGTTCTGGAATACCCATTTTCGCATTGGGGGTGCTGCAGGCAGCTTGGTCGAGACCAAATGTCAAGGAAGTCCGGCAGACTGCAGAGCGGCATGGGGACTGCTGCGTCTCACCAGCACATCGTCAGCCTACGTCGAGAACATGTGGGGCTGGACAGCAGACCATGACCTCGACGGCAGCAGGGCTCAGACCATCGCAACCGGCCGCGGCCTGCTGGTAGAAGCGAACAAAGCCACATGGCTGGTGGGCACGGGCTTTGAGCACAACACTCTGTACCAGTACAACTTCCAACGCGCGCGCAATGTCTTCTCAGCTCTCCAGCAAAGCGAATCGCCGTACTGGCAAGGACCGGGTAACCTCCTTGCTCCGGCGCCATGGGATCAGAGTCTCATCGCAAGCGATCCGGACTACTCTGAATGCGCTGCCAACGATGCAACATGCCGAATGGCGCTGTTCGAGCTAATTCGCAGCTCATCCAATCTCTTCCTGTATGGCGGCTGCAACTGGGTGTTCTTCAATAACAAACAATCCTGCCAGGGAGACTGTCAGCAGAACGCAATTCGCATCGTGGATTCCTCTTCGCTGTATCTATACGGGACGAACACCAAAAGCACCACGAACATGGTGCTCAATGGCAATACACCCATAGCAAAGCAGAGTGACAATGCCGGTGGATGGGGAGGAGTTATTGCGGCGTATCTGTACAATTCATGAAAGCGCCGGGTATATACATTGGGTGATGTGACTATGGCTTATATATATGAAATGGAGAGCTAATAGTTATAGATAATGTCTACTGAGCAATACAGACTTGACCTACACTTGGAGAATATCAGTGGATGGAGTACCATAATATCTCATTAGAGAATCTCGTGAGCTGAAATAGTTCTCAATACTGCTCCGATGTATACATGTAGTCTCACATGCTTAGCATATACGACAACAAGGTGTGGAAAACAGGGTTTCCCATCCGCTCAACGGTCCTCAAGCCACAATTATCAACGCAGTCAGAAATTATATGAGCCCTTTCAGACTTGCCATCCGGTCATGAAGCTACAAGCCTTGGGAGGAGGATTCGAGAACATCTTTCACACGCGAGATTGCAGAAACAGAGACGATCGAACAGCACACCGGATACGAACTAACTCTTAAATTCAATTCCAACGCATGATGCGTCTGTGAACTTTATAGTGCTTATGCGATTTCCAGACCCGGTACAAGTTCCACTCGTCCATATTGCTGAAGCTGTAATAACTATTCTTCTCGTGTCTCTGGATAGTGGTACATTCTTGCTATATACAAAGCGATTCCAACGGGTATTACAAGGTGCTGGAAATTCAGCGTCCAACTTTCCGCGATTATCAGGCCGTCTAATGATATTTCGCTCCGCTCTGGAGTATGCCAGGTGTCAAAGCGGTTCAGAATACTGTACGCTAGTACACAGACAAAAGTAAAGACCAACCCACACCTAATCATACTCATGATCAGTCCATTCGTCGTCTGTCTCCCTCTTCCACAGATCATCCTCGTTGTTCTGCGGCTGCTTCATTATATCACAAAGACGATGCCAACGGTGGCATTGTAGAGAGAGCGCCGCTGCTAACGGCACTGGATATGGTTTATTCATATCAATCCTGGCACACTGATTCGTTTAACTGCATATTTGGTCATGTTATGTTCTCACGGATAGAATCATTTCACACTCGTAGGTTAGGGTTCAGGGTTTTGATCCGTCAGCTTCAGGACCAGATAGATCTACACTTGTCCGCCCTTTTCTCAAAGCCCATTAAATCGTGCTTATTCGAGGTTCCTCAAGTCGAGACTCATTTCTGTACTCCGTACTCTGTACATAATTCTGAAATCGACAAATTAGACGATGATATAATAAGCCTTTATGGTGTTGTGGACTTGACTGGATCGGGCCGCAGGCCCGCAACCCACTTCGGGCAAAGATTCGGGTTCTGTCAACTGGACAACAACAACATTGTCATCACTATCAACCAGAAAACAACACAGGCAAGGCAATTGGAACCTAATTCATCATGCCGCTATAATCATGCATCCAACCACAGTCAATCTGCTGTTTTTAAATTTCCAATCAGCTTGAGCCATGTCAGATTCTAATCTGTTGTTCCTGAATCCTGATCGGTTGCCTCTACAGGTGGCTGGGATGAGGAGGCTGGGAAGTCGCTCATTGACTCTAGAGTCCAACCACCCAACCCAATATCCACAATACAGACATGACAGCCTCCTCATCCCATGACAGTCAATGAATTATCGTTTTTCTCCCTCGCATATCATTCTCTGCCTCTGGTCATCCATGTGAAGGTGAGCTCACCGCATACATTCTTCGGTTGTCTGCAGCGGTTCAGCCGTCATGAATGTCCCGGGGTCGGGAAATGTGAGTCTGAGGACTGTCAGCTGTAAGTGAAAGGAAAAATAAAATTGAGAGGCAAGCTTGATCTATCATATTCGCACTCTCACTCTTCCTTCTCCCCTTGCTCCTTCTATAGCTGCCAGGCAAGATAAAAGGTCTGCAGGGTGCTGATGATTCATTGCAGCAAGCAGACCACAGATGTTCCGCTCTGAATCTAAACAGTCAATTGCTGCGTCGGACGATTACTACTCCCTCTCGGATCGTACGACAACCTCCGGTTCTAGAACTCCAAGCTCGGAGAGCCGTCTTACCGTCCAGCGGTATGCTACGCCGAATTCCCACCCTGTCTCCAACGCATCATCTCCCGCGTTATCTCGAACGCATCTAGGCGCCAATATGGCTGGTTCTCGATCACAACATTCCATTCTGGAACAGTCTCGAAACAGAAATGTTCCTCCCTCCGGCCTCAGTCAAGCTCGATTCGAGCAGGGCAGACTGGGCATGTCCGACGAATCCATTCGACATGTACCAAACGATAGTTATGCCGGTCGCTCACCGACTCCGGGGACGGACGACTTGCCCTACATTCGGTTCGCCATCAATCAGCTCACACGGGAAGATGAGCAACCGAGCTTATCGAGGCAGTCCTCGGCCGCAAGTGTCGACTATCCGCCACAGCCTCCCGTATGGGATGCAGCTCTGGGCCAGTTTACCCGTCCCTCGAAGTCCAAAGGAAGTTCATTACGCCCTCCAGAAGAACGATTACACCAGCACAGTCCGCCAGAAAGGTCGCCACAGAACTCGGTGGATCCGGAGGCATTTGTTGCGGTTGACCCTCCGGACAATAACCTGCTGTATCCCCCATTGAATTTTGTGCCTATTGTTCTACGACCATGGGCACTGGCTTTGGCCATTCTTTCTTGCTTGCTCATGATTGCCGGCGTTGTCTTCTGCAACGTCTGGTCCCAGCGACACGAAGGAATCTGGGACTACGATGGACAGGGAGGCTCACGATATTTCGTGGTTCAATTTTTACCCCAGATCCTGGCCGCTGTTATCACCATCTGGACATTTGTAATCCAAGCAGCTGTATACCGCGTCATGCCATTTGCAATCATGGCATCAGAGACGCTCCAGCATCGCGTGATACAGAAGCTGCCAATTCTGTCACGAAACTTCCTGCTACCTGACTGGTCGTATTTCACGCACGGAGAGCCATTAGCCGGGTTTGCTCTGCTGACGATTTGGATCTCCAACCTCATTATCATCCCGCTTCTCAGCTGTTTTTTCCAAGCAAAGTGGCACCTGATCAATGGCGAAGGGCAGTGGCGATGGAATGCTGTCCTAGCTGTCGGGTGGACAATCGTGGCCGTTTACGCGTTACTTGCTCTTGGACTGACAACGCTCCTCATTCGCTTCATGCGGACACGGTCCGGACTGATGTGGGATCCTGTCAGTCTGGCTGACCTGATTCCTGTCATCCAGCGATCCAACATTCTGCATGACTTTGAACAATCCGAGACATGGCCGGATGTCGGAAGTGCACTTGAGCCCAGAGTCCTCCGGCTAGGCTATTGGCAGGTGTCGAACCGTGCCGAGGTTTTCTATGGAGTTGCCGAGATTGATGCGCCGATACGGAATCCATCTCTGCATCGACCAGAGATGAGCCGTGAGAAGCAACCACTGGTCTCAAGGGTATCCTTCGATATCGAGCGACGGAGCACTCATGCGGCCGAAGGTTTTGAACAGCAACTATACTCCCAGTCTGTCCGTTATCGCTGGGCGCCGTGGTTTCTCAAAGACACCTTCGTTGTCGCTTGGTCGGTGATTATCGGCGCGCTTTTCATTGCGTTTGTTCTCGTCAGCTTCATCCACGATGCCATTAAAGGCGGATTCCCTCCACGGCTACCAACATTGCCGTCAACTGGCGCTTTCTCATCCTCAAACTTCTTGTACAGCTTTATCCCTGCGTTGATCGGTAATATTCTGTTCCTCTCCTGGCAACCGATCGATGTCTACTTCCGTGCACTACAGCCATATGCCACTTTGTCCTCTCCAGATGGCGCTCGAGCGGAGCGAACTCTATTGCTAGAATATCCCGCCTCCTTTCCTCTTCAGGTGACAGTGCAAGCTATTCTGAATGCGCACTACAAAGTGGCATGGATCTCTTTGATGAGCATCGTGTCGGCAGCTCTCCCTGTACTGGCTGGAGGCGTCTTCATTGCCCTCTGGTATCCCTCGCACGAAGGAGTACGGATTGCTGCACTGATGCCTGCTTTCTATACATTGGTTGCCTTTTGCGCTCTATACACCGTATCCTTCTTGTGTATATGGCCCCGCAGATACAGATATCTTCCTCACGATATCAGCACACTAGCAGACCAAATCAGCTTCTTTTACCAAAGCCCTCTTCTTGCCGATAAGCTCCTTCGCGAACCCAGAAGCAAGACGGATCTTGTCACTCGACTAGTGACAGCGCCCCCGGGAGAGAGGCAATATCCAACGTACGGCTTCGGGATATATGTTGGGCGTGATGGGAAAGAGCATCTTGGAATAGACCGTTTCCAACGACCTGGACGGTCCGACATGCTAATTACAACTGGAAAGATAGAGAGTTGATTGTCCTATTCCTTTTTTTCGACGGCAAATTCGATGCTGTTACTTATGCAGCGATACGTTCCATAAAACATGACTGTGCTACGAAGCATTTCAGAAATCCGCTTACGATCGAATGATGACAACGCGACGATGTCACGCAGAAATTAGCCACGATAATATCGAAACGATTTACTTTTGATGACGACGATGATGTATGCTCAAATGCGACGACATATTTCTTATTTTTCCTTGATATTAGCGCCTCGTTTCTGCATTCTCTAATACCTTTTTGTTTCGGTGATATTCTGCTATGTTTCACTCGGGTTCTGAAAATACTCTTTGATTTGCTTTGTTTCAAAACATCAACACTCTACCTCGATGGCATTGTACAGGCGTTTGTTTGCTTTCCAGCTGTACAGCTATAGAACACAAACACAATATGATAAACGTGAAGTGACATCCTGTCTAATTCTCTATCTTATCTTGATGAGATCAAATGTAAATCCGTCACAATTGGTCGTCTCACCGGATCCTGTACCCATGAGTAGTCTCTGCTAGGGCTGAGTGTACGCGGTGACCAACTGGCATGGATTTCAGCGGGTTGCTATACCCTTAGGATGGTCATGTGCGGTTGCCTTGCTTCGCAAAATAGGGAAGCTTTCTATTTATACGCACAGTGTATCCTTAGATCACAAATAACGATATTCTGAATTCCTTCCCGGGACTTGAAATAATTGCATGAATCAGCTACAGGCAGAGCAAATGAGCACGTGACCTCAGCAAATATCAACTCCGCATATCTCCGCCTTGAGGATTAATCAGAATCCATTCAACAGCTAACTATTCCTTAACACCACCGCTTCCAAGTCTTCTCTCATTCTCCTTGCGCCGAATATATCTCATTGAGCATACGCCGGCATAAAATCATCAACTTCAACTCCACATAATCCAGTCAACCACCACCACAACATCAATAACTCAGCTCAACACCATGCTCTCCTTCTTCAACTGGGGCGCCAGCCCAAGCTCAAGCCCAACCACCGACTCAAAGAAGACATCTCCAGCACCCTCCCAACCAGACTCAATCTCCGGATCAGTCGAGCCCCAACCGCAACAAACGCAATTACAACCACAAAGACCCCTCACAAACCTCAAACTCCTCTTCGGCGGTGTCACCTTCTTCACCCTCTCGCTGCTCATCACCCGCCGCGCCTTCACGAGGCGTGTCCTAGCCTCCACACCACCCTACTGGACGTCATCCGTTTACCACCGGCCCCCCGTAAACGGCGCAGGGGACGCCTTCGAGGCGCTGAGCCTCGCGACGCTGAATGTGTGTTCGTTTGCGATGATGGCTACGGGCGGTGTGCTTTATGCGCTTGATATCAATAGTGTGGAGGATATGCGGCGGTATGTGAAGAAGGAGATGGGGACGGGGACGGTGCGGGATGAGGAGGTGGAGAGGGAGGTGGAGGAGTGGGTTGCTAAGGTGTTGGGGGAGAAGTTCGGGGTGGAGTTGAAGAAGGAGAAGGAGAAGGAAACGGGCAATGTTGAAGGGAAAGGGGAGTAGAGTAGACGAGCGGTTCTGCAAGAAAATGTACAGTGAAACATCATCCTCAGCTCTTGTATACTAGTCATATCACGAATCATGAACTGCATCAGATTGTACAGCATATATTACTACACTGGTTCTGGTTATACTATTTCTCCATACGTTCGTATCGCTCCCGCGCTGTCTGCCTCGTCTTCTCCAGGAACTCATCGTACCGGTTGCGCGTGTTGCGTCCCGCTTCCTCGACCGCATCACCCAGCTTGCTTCCTTGCGCACCCAGGCCGACACCCTGCGCATACACCTCCGTGGCTATCGGGGCGGTCATCCCAGTACCCTGAGCACCCAGTCCAGAGCCGGCCGACCAACCCATCTTACTAAGGAGGGACGCCCCCTTCGATGTTGTCTCCACTGGTGGCTCGTCTTCCTCCCTCGGCGCAGCAGGCTTGGCCTTAGTCGACGTTCGCGAACTGCCAAACGCCTTTCGACGTTCCCTTGCACGGTCCCTGTACTCGGGAGTAGATTGAACGATGCCATGTTTGATGAGCTTGCCCATTGCTTTGTTTTTCAATTCGTCGTTCTGCAAATTATCACGGTGCAGCTGACTGAGCCGTTCGTGTCTGTTGACTTCAGCCGAGCTCTTGAATTGCCGCATGCACAGGTAGCAGCAGTTCCGATTTAAATCAGCATAGGATTGTGTGGGAGGAGCTGCAGCGTCGGCCGGCGATCCACGGCTTTCGACGCCACCGTCGCTTCCCTTCTCGTCTGCGTCCTTTTTCTGAATGCCATGCAGCTCAGCATGGCGATTACTCCAGAACTGCAGATGAGAGGGAACGGCGACTTTCTTGGACGCTGCGCTTGCTGCGGCGTCTGCTTTTCGCTTCTTTGCCTTCTCTGCTTCTTTCGAACTCTTCCCTTGGTTTTCTGCTTGGCCCTGCGCGGTCGATGCTTGATTGTTGTCCAACTCGGCAGTTGACACCGTCAATTCTTTCACATATGCCTCCTCGTCCCAGTACATAAGCTTCAAGGACGGGTTACTGAGGGGACTGAAGGTGAACTGGTCCGTGCTCGCCGAAGGATTGATAACAGGCACAAACACGCCAGCGTGTATGTAGCTTACAAGAACAGGCTTTGAGGAGATGGTAAATTTTTCGAATGAATGAAGTCGCGCAACAGCCGCTTGGGCATCCTACAAGAACAGTAAGCTTAAGCGAGACATGAAGATCATAACAAACGTACCTGAACAGTGGCGAACTCCGCAAATCCATACCGCCAGCTCTCGTTGGTTTTGCGGTCTCTGACCAGTAGGACACGGCGAATAGAGCCATCTCTTGCCCCAAGATTGGCATCACCGGTCGTGGAAGCCACCTTGGCCCCCTTCCTTTGGTTCTCCGAAGGTCCACCCGAGCCGGGAGTAGGTCGGTAGAGCTTAGCCACGCCCTTTGCAAGAAGCTCTTCGGTGACAGAAGACTCTAGCCCTCGGAAAAGAAGAAACTGTGAAGGTTGATTGTCTGGAGCCGCATCGTTGTCGCCGTTGTTCTCAACCTTCGGAGCAGCAATTCCAGGTGGACCAGCCGGGCCAGCCTCTACGCCCTGTCAGAAACTCACCCTATATCAGACCGCCGGAACGACTTACCAGGCCGGGGCGCTTGGCATCGGAAGCATTTATTGCGAGTCGAGTAGTTAACAATAGCGCACTGTAACAGTCAGGTCAGCTTGCCAGATATGCCACGGTCCAGCCAACTCACCATTTTGCAGGTCCAGTCACTCTCGGCCCTCGCACGAGTGCGATCTTCCCTCTCACGACTATAGGCGACGCGGACCTTGGTGCCCTTGTCGTTATTGCCAGCATTAGGTCCATGCAGATAGATCGATGGGAAATTGCGGTCCATGAAGTCGCGTGCAAAGTCAAGGTTTCGAAACCTGAGGAAGCCAAGTTGCCGTGATTTTTCTGTACAGGTCAGACATTCGTGCGCAAATCGCGACAGAAGAAGAACGTACTGGTTTGCCGGTCACGGATAACCCGAACTTCTTCTAGACCTTCGACATAGTAAAAGTCTCTGAGCTCATTCGAAATCTGTTCAACACGTCGACCGGAGCAGACCCGGTGACATGCACATCTCAGCCTCTTGCCATCAAGGACGTGTTTATGACATGGAGCGTAGCTCTAAAACTCCAGAAATGGGACTTCAAGGGGGGAAGGAGTTTTCCAACGTCTTCTTCCGCCATATCCACCGGCAACCCATCCATCATGACTTCTCTGCTTTCCTTTTCGGGGTAAGGCTGTCGACTTCGACGAGGGCTGCGGCTGCGACTGTAGCTTCTACTCCGACTGTATCCGGGTGAACGATATCCCTCGCGGTCACGATCTCTGTAGGCCGGTCTGCCGCGCCGCGGTGGCGGTGATCTAGAGGGTCGTCGACGATAGTCATCGCGGTCGCGACTTCGATAACGAGGTCGGGAATCGAGTCGGTCTCTGGATGATTCGCGTCGCCGATCTGCAGCTGGACCTCGCGGAGGAGAGCGCTGGCCTTCTTTACCCAGAGAACCCTGTTAGTAAATCTCTATCGGTGGAGGGTTATATGACTTCTATAAGCCATCCGGCTTGATATCATGTGGGGAAAGAGAGCGTTTACCGCCAGGCGATCGTGATCGGGAAGGCGAATGATCATCGTACATACGACCGTCCCGATCGTCACGGCGCGGGTAAGGACGATGAGAGGGTCCCGGAGGAAATCTGCTGTCTTCCGGATTGAAATGTGACATGGTGACACCGCAACAAAACTGTGATGGAGACTTGGAGAAGGAATGTCGAGTGACGGAGATTCATACAGGTATCGGCAGAATCCTAGACCGCCTTCTGATCTTAACTGTCGCTTATACTTCCCAATCGGGAGAGGACTAGAACTATATATTTCCTTCGAGACGATAGACGACGCATCATCGCTTGTTAAGTCGGATACAAAAATATGCCTGATACGAACAAAGTACGACCCGCCTTACATACTCATAGAGTCCATAGGTCAGTGGAATCAGAGACCAAATAGTCCTGTTGTTGCACGGTCCCATTTGCTTTCCAAGAATACTGCAATGTTGACATTTTCCAGCAACTAGCTACCGCAATTATGCCCGCCTCTTCTGGCCTAAACGTTGTATTAATTTACTCCTGCAGGCTAATCTCTGTCGTAAAATCGAATCCACCTCTGATAATAACGAGATCGTCATTGCGGGCAAAGAGGATATCCCGCCGAAGGACGGCGCAAATTACGTCCCGTGACCCCGTGGCCCAGTCGTACGGTATGAAGAAATGTCTACTGTACGATGTTATCTCAGGGGTTCGATTTTCCAGTCGCACAGAACAGACCCAAGAGCCAGTATCGAGGAAGACCAGTCTGCTGGATTCGCAGATTCCAATAACGTGTGCAACCTTCTGTGACAAAAGAGCGAGTCTTGGTTCCACCGGTGAAACCAAGGACTCACCTCCTTGACCTCCGTCTTCTGATAATGACGCTAGACCGTCGTCCAACCCCTGTGGTACTGTGACGATATCCTTGAAGCTGGCTTCATTGTCGGCTTCGAAGGATTGTGCGTCCAGAAGATATAGGTTTTGAGTTTTCGCAGATCCACCGAACTCGCAGAGCTCAACGAGAACACCCTTTGCACTATGTAACGCAAATTGTCTGATGCTCTTAAAATCCAGCTCTCGCACACTGATGTCAAGTGACACAGATACAACCTGAGACCACTTATCCCAAGAATACACACGGGCAGCCGTACTTTCAAAGCAAATTGCGTGGTATGCTGAGCGTGGATGCTGAACCCATTTTCGCACGGGTGCCCAATCGGTGTATTTTCGTGAATTCTCCTCGTGACCATCAACTTGCCAAAGATGATCTGATTCACGTGTTGATAGAATGAACTTGCCAGTTGCTTCCGACGTGAGAACTTGGGTGATGGAACCGCCGTACTCTAGTCGGGACTGAAATGCCATTCTCTCTGCGAACCATCCACCTTGTTCCGGCTTTCTCACGTACCAGGCGAGTATCTTATTTGATACATCAACGCTTATAGCTAAGTCATGTTGAGTCCACCATTCCAAGATACGAACTGATGAGTTGTGACGGCAGATTTCAAGTTTCCTAGACCCAGTTTTGGCGTCGTACAATGAGACAGATCCATCATCCCGGCCGCATAGGACAACATCTCTGTCATAATGCACTGCTATAGCGCTGATCTTGACCTTGCTGTCCGTGGCTTTCGCTTCTATAAATGATTGTGATGAGTTTTCGCTCGTATCATGACCGGCTGAGCTTCCAAGCAGCACCGGCGGCTCCCAAACATTGCATTGGGATCCTCTAATATCGACACAGTGCAGGTTGTCTATGCTGAAAGACAGCTGTTTTATAAAAAGGTCCGAGGATTGGACTTGGTAGAGCAACGTGAGAGTATCGAATTCGTATATGTGAATTGCTCCGAATCCAGCACTTCCTGCAAGCAGGCGTCCGTCTGCACTGGAAGCGAGCGTGTGGCAATTCGCGCGACGACTTTCCAAGGTTTGATCCTCAAATGGATTGAGAAGAACAAGCTCACCATCAAGGTACGATGCAACAAGTAGGTCAATAGCTGGGTTGGGATTGAATACCAGGACTGTCACCGGATGCGTACTCGTTCGACCATCAGAGAGCTTTTTGCCGCAAGAACCATAATAAATGTTCTCTTCTAGGTCCCAGAGAGCAATCGGCCGCCCACTGTATGCGACTGCGAGCATTCTATGTCCGGAGGAGATCGAGATCACACTTGGAACCCGCCACGACCGCGTGCACTTGTCGTTGCCTGTGTCATTCCACGGCCTGTCTGGTTGTCTAGCGCCATTGTTATTCAGGTCCCAAGATGCCAAGTAATTTTTGTACGTCGGAATAATCAGGAAACCTTCGTCGAATGTAAGTCCTATAGGTCTAAGGGGCACTTCGAAATTATAAATAATATGACCGTTCTGGATGTCCCATACCAAAAGCTTCTTGAACCCACACGAGGCGAGCACGTCTGCCTTGGTTCCGAACTGCAGGAACATTACCGCCTCTCCATGATCAAACTCCTTATATTCCTGACAAGTCGTCGTGTAGTACATAAAGATTTGACCGGTACTCAACCCCACCACGAAAAACTCGTGTCCGTGGCAGAGCGCGCTAGTTTGGCCTTGGTGGAAAGCAATGCAAGACAGTCGGTCATCCCATGAGGTGTTTGACATTCCAATGACAGAGATTTTTCGCCCGGCGCTCGCATTCTTGTGAATTGTCGTTTCTAAAGGACAGAACGGGGGTATCAGCGAGTATACCGCCGACGGTTGGCTGATGAGAGCACCCGAGAACTTTCCCGAGATCTTGATTAAGTCCATTATCCAACCTTGCACCCTCTGTAAATCAGTTGCAAGCGGCGATAGCTGACTGGGGCAGGCTTTCAAATACACCTTCAAGTTCCTCGCAGTGCGGATGAGTGGCATGAGGTTTCTATTTCTGGCGACAGCCTCGATCCATGAAAAAACATTGGTCTTCAAGAATTTGTCAAGTAAATCCAGAAGGTCGTCTGCTAGTGGATTGGCCTTCATTAGGTGATAAGAAAAGTGTAAGGAAGCGTAGCTCGAGAACTTGCTTCGTTTATCTGCTGGAGACCTTGAGACAGATCGCCTGTTGGTCCTCGGTGGTCTCATCTCCTCTCCTGTGAGGTATGCAAGACAAGCTCTTGCGATACGCGTATGAGCATCGGTTTGATCAATCGCGAACTCTGAATTTAAGCTGTTGTTCAACAGAAACTCCCTAGCAGTTTCATGCACCATCTGGACTCTGTCGAACTTATCAATGGCCACCAGCTGCCCACACAATGCACTAATACTTTCCCGCAGTCGGGGGAATATATCGTTCACAGCTAAGTTCAGAGCTTCTTCAAGCTCTTTCACAGTTAGAGGTCGCGTCACACTCGTGGCCCAGACGAGGATAGCTTTAATCAGCCTCTTCCCACGTGTAGATTGTGACATCAGGTCCAGTGTTCTCAGATAAAGATCTTCCATGCCCTTCGGCACTTCCGCGAGGACATGGCGGATCTCCTCTTCCGAATGCGAATCCGATAACTCATTGAGAACCAAGACAGTCCAAAGCCAAGATCCTTCAGACTTCCCTAAAATTCTTTCCGCAAGAGCAGCACGACCAGCTTCGGATCCTACAATGAGGGCATTAGCTCTTGCTCGAACAAGCGATGCAATATCTTCTTTTGTGTCCGCTGTCGAAATAAGTTCCGCCCGGACTTGGTCATGTCCCAACATAGCAATACGCCTTTCGATTTCCGAAGTCTGTCGGCTTGTGACAAGAATTTTCAGCGTGACAGAGCGATCAAGCCTGGCAAGCACAATTTCGAAAAACGATACCAGGTCTGCACACTCGTCGAGAGCATCAATGACCCAATAGTGTCGCTGGAAGTTTGTTTTGAAGATCCCAGAGGTGAATAATCTTCTCCAGAGGATACGATCGTCGTCACCGTCGAGCTTTACATCCCTTTCACGCATTTCAAGTAGTAGTTGCCGTATCTCTGTGTTCACGCAAGCCATTTGAAAAGCAAGAGATCGAAGACAAGTACTAAGCTGTGACTTGGACCTGTCCCCGTGTTTGAAGAAGAAGAAGCTGCAAGCTTCATGCTTCATGCGTAATTGAGAAACCAGGTATCCAGAAAGTACGGACTTGCCAGACCCAGGTTTTCCGAAGAGCCAAAGCACACGTGCAGCATTGTCGTTGTATTGCCACTCTAGGTGGCTTTCCTTCGATTTTATCCATTCGCAAGTCCCAGGCAAGCGAACATCTTGAACAAGCATCAGGTCGTCCTCGAATTTGTCAGACACGTCTAGGTATTCACCCAGGTCGTTGATGTTGCTACGAAGTAGCCTCTCCTTCCATTTCTGCGCTACGTCGGATTTAGCGACCTGCTTGCGAAACCTAGGACTGGATCATACCTGATTCCGCGGCGCTCTTGATTGTGGACGCGAGTGCATTGCGGATGAGTATATAATTTGGATCGCTCGGCGCTTCGAACTTACATATGGAACGATGATCAGCGTTCAGCGGTATTTGTTTCTCTTTGCGATATCCAAGTGTAGCCGAGGCGGGATCAACAATCAGCACACGGAAGAGACCTATGCTGAGCTTTTGTGTTTCGTAGAATGACCACAGATCTATATCTTCCGAATGTCTACTAAATTCATTATTAATCGATCTTATAGCGTCAGATCCGCGCTTCAAGTCTGAGACGTAGGCTCGCGACGAGTACGTGATGTTGAGAATATTGCTTAAAAGCTTGGCAGAATCAGAGCCACTGTGAGGTGTCGCGAGGAAATACATGGCACAAATCCTTTTGGTCAGGTAGAGGTCGGTTGCATCTTGCTTTGCCAACAAAAACGCCTTTTTGATAACCAGGCCCCCCATGCTGTGACCAACGAAAATGATTGGCGTATCCGAATTGTGCAAATGGGGAGAAGTACTCAATTCACCCAACAAAGATCGAGCGAAGTGATGGATGTCTAGGCAATTAGCCTTGCCCTTGACCCAGTCTGAATCATATCCGAAACTGTGCACTCGGACATTCTTGAACACCGGATCCCTAGGAAGCCATTCCTTTGGCCAGTAATGCGAAGCAGAAGCTGTTTTGCTCCATGTCTTTCTGGAACCACCCCCGAGACCATGGACAAATATCAAATCGATTAGAGGTTGTTCTGGAGAAAACAGGAGGATCAATCCTAGCGGTCCTCTGAGCTCTTCGGCGCTGACTTCTGTGGTAGATTTGCTCTCAGCATAGGTATCGGTCGTCTAGAAAGGGCTGTTACAGAAATCTCACCCTCTTTACGAGGCGAACTCTTGAGCAAATCTGCCAGTCTGTGTCAGTAACAGTACTAAATATCTGATACTGAGAATCCGTGGTCCACAAAGATCTCACCATCCTTTCGCGGCATTGTCTCCAACCACTTTAGCTCAAAGATGTGCTCATTCCCAGATCCAGAAGACACCGGGGGTTGGGGGGAGGGGGTGGGATTAAAATAAAATTCTCCAAACCATTGCCGCGATCTCTCTGGCTCGTTGTGCAACGTAGACAATCTGCAGACAAGTAACATTACATCCAATAGCTCCACTTCCGTGGTTAGTTACTAACAGGCAATGGAGTGGAGTGACAAAAATGAGCATTATCAGTCAAGGTAGGAGTCCAACAGCGTAAGGCCACCTATAGTCACTTTATATCCTGGTGTGAACTCGCCCCAGATCGAGTGGACGAATGAGTAGCCATTGTTTGGCGCCCACGACTCACGGTCGAGATGAGGGGCGGTTTGGGAACGCAATGTTGAGCCACCTGGAAAACTTCAATTTTCCAGTCAACTCTCAAGGTTTCAGTGGAAAGTGAATAGTATTAGGTATTCATGTTGAGGGTTTCATGGGGGCTAAATCCTGGCAAAGAGCCAGGATGAAGGTGTTTGAGATGCTGGTAAGGTTATTAGAACTTAGAAGCATGTCGGCGCTTTCTAGCCCTCTTTTGACAAGGCCGTCTGTAAGCCTAGGGCCGGACTATCCCCTCAGCGAGCTAGACACATCATACAACCTATCTGTTGTTTGATTCCGTTCCAATGACAAGACGTCTTGTATTTCTCACATTTGCTCAACCTCAAAGCTTCATTTTGCCTAGACATTCGGTCTCACAATTCAGACCACTTCTTCAATCCAACAATACAACATAAAGTATAATGACAACCGAGGCTTCCCATCCTGCAATTGCGGCAGGCGATCATAAAACTTATATGCATATGCGTTAGAGAAAGCTCGATTGTCCCCCCCAGCGCCAACCAAGTTCTGCGTTGGAGCAGTTCTTGTCGATGCAGATAAGAACGAGATCTTATCTACGGGATACTCGATGGAATTGCCAGGGGATCGACCCGGAGATCCAGGCAATACGCACGCAGAACAATGCTGTTTCATCAAGGTTGCAGAAAGGCATAATATACCAGAAGACCGGTTGGGCGAGGTGTTGCCCAGAAATACCGTGCTATACACGACAATGGAACCGTGCAACGAGCGACTAAGCGGGAACAGGACGTGCGTGGACAGGATACTGAGTCTCAAGGGTGCTGTTAGAGTGGTCTACGTCGGGATCAAGGAACCGGAGACGTTCATCGGTCAGAATCTGGGCAGGAAGAAACTCGAGGACGGTGGTGTTATTGTTGAGCATGTTGAGGGTATGGAGCAACAGATTCTGGAGGTATCTATGGCCGGACACAATAAATGAAACCACTATTTTCAAGAGATGTACATAATGCTATCTCTTTACTAGTCCAATGGTGAGAATGAGATTCATAACTACAGTTTCGAATAGAGACGTGACTTTTAACACTTCGATCATAAACCGAATAGCAGCAGCCGGAGCATGCAAGTCTTTCGCATTTCTTGTGTAGACCCGGACCGAAATGGACAGTGATTAGCGTTTTAGGATATTGGAGAGATAAATATGAACGTTCAATACAATCTTGATTTTGTACAAGTTGTGCTCTCATTGTGTCTTGTTAGATATGATCCCCGACGTTAACTTATTTGACAGTGGCTTGATGGCTTGAGCTTGTGTAGATAGTTGTCCGACCGAGTACCCGAGTACGTGCACATGGCCATGCGGGCCAACATGTTGCTTTTTTTGTACCTGAGATGTCGTACATGAAAGCCGTTGATGGTCACAATCGGAGGCTAACTCCGATTTACGTAGGACCTAATTCTGCCATACACACATCCTGGAACTATAGATTCAAGTCCGAGGTAAGTATTTCTTCTGCCAAGCAACGACAAGGTTGTCGTTCTCATCGAGACATTGTGCTCGACAATGAGCCACCTAAACGACTGGTGTTTGTGATCTTCATAGCCGAAGGGGAGGAGCTTACCAAAGCTCTATAGCTGATTTCCGTCTGTGGTATGTTAGGCGAGATCACGTGAATGAGAGCTCCGACTCCCGCCAACTGGGCGCGTCAGCCTTATGTCGAGGTAGAGGGTGGTCCAACAAGTGAATTGATTCAAATTCTAGAAGGAGTCTGCTTTCTTAGACTATTTATGAATGATGTTTCATGGCCTATGTAGATAAACAGACTCATGGCAAAGATAAATGCTTGCCTTGAATGCGGAGACCTATGACGTGGCACGATTGGAGGCGGGGAGAGAAATACAGGGAGGGGTAATTGTGGCTTGAGCGCAGCTCCGTCAATGCTAGCTAGCTCCCTACGGTCGAGATTCAAAACTGCCCCTCCTTCACAATTTTCCTCTTCCCCTCTCTCTCCCCTCATCATCACATACCAACATACTTTCGTTCTTATTTGATCAAATCAGCAACCATGGTTGTCAAGACTTTCTTCGATATCGACATTAACGGTGGTAAGTTTCCCAGTGGTTCTATTCTATCGTCCAAGTGAGGGACATATTCTGAATGATTATTATTCTAGAGCCGGCTGGCCGCATCACCTTCAAGCTGTTCGACGACGTCGTCCCCAAGACCGCCGAGAACTTCCGTGCCCTCTGCACTGGTGAGAAGGGTTTTGGCTACAAGGGTTCCAGCTTCCACCGTATCATCCCCCAGTTCATGCTCCAGGGTGGTGACTTCACCAAGGGCAATGTGAGTTCACCCATCAACGCTACTCTGGCGCTTGTGCGGAAAGAGGCTCCAATAGGAAGTATACTGATCTCTACTGTAGGGCACTGGTGGCAAGTCCATCTACGGTGAGAAGTTCGCCGATGAGAACTTCCAGCTGAAGCACGACAAGCCCGGTCTGCTCTCCATGGCCAACGCCGGCAGGAACACGTACGTCATTATCCCCGCTATCTCTTACTCGAGTTCAGCAAATACTAACATGTAACACAACAGCAACGGCTCCCAGTTCTTCATCACCACCGTCGTTACCGACTGGCTCAACGGCGCTCACGTCGTCTTCGGTGAGGTCGAGGAGGGCATGGACCTTGTCAAGAAGATTGAGAGCTACGGCAGCTCGTCCGGTACCCCCAAGAAGAAGGTTACCATTGCCAACTGCGGTCAGCTGTAAAGAGCAATTGTCCTTACCTGATTGCGTCGGACTAGTTGCGCCAATCATGCTCCATTTAAAGACAGCTAAATAGCCTAAATGAGAGCCAGTGACTAGATCTTTGAACTCGTGCATTTCGTCCACTTAAGCCTGTAATCCTTGTAGCAGTGAGCGAAGTGCACTCAGATTCAATATTACCAATTCCATATCCCCTGCAGGATCTGATATGATACGAATACTAGGCCCTGCTAAAAATTGATACTGCGTACGCATTTTCTATCCCGGCTCAGGGAGATATGCAGATGACCTCCATGGTACAATACTCTAATGCAGTTAAGTTATGAGCATTTGATATGCATCTCTTTACATTACAGGGACGGCCTATTGATGGCAGCTTTTTGGATTTACTTATTTTCTTCTCAGTAAGATACTATGGCGTTTCCCAGCTGCTTTCAGCTAATAAAAGGGATTAAGTCATCTTCTAGTTCATTTCAACGCCATGGCTCGCCAAACCCCAGTTTTACACGGATGCAGGAGTAGTTTATTCGCTAGTCCTACGGGCATTGGCAACGCTCCCGTCAAGCAGAACTTCAACCATACACCTGGCTGGCTTAGAAGGACATGCGGTTTATACTATCAAGAGCTGCCTTCTGGTCCGTAGCGCTAGAAAGCCATGTAGATTGTGATGGGTAGTATAATCGTATGGGAAACCAGTCTTGGTTCTAGAGTATGTGAGTGGAAGTAAAGAAAGAATGTCAGTAACTGGTCCTTTCAGGAGATAATGAAGAAAGATGATGGTGTTTAAGGTCGAGCAAGGTAGCTGGAAAAGGAGGGAAATTTCGGGTTGTAGAACATTCTATTTTATGAGTATAGACTAGTATATGCACATAACTGGGTCTGAAAAGGGATCATTTTGAAGTTACAACGCTCTATATGGATCGTCAGCTTCGTGGTCGCATCTTTCAAAGGAGAAAATAAGGATATACTCACAAATTCTTTTACCATCCTGATTTCACCATGCCCAGAGTCATCCTCTGAGAGACTCAAGCGGGAGATCTCTGCTGGCGGCACAGCCCGCACATTCACGCCTCCTGCAATATGCACGTCATGTTTCCCTTGAGCTTCATACTCTAAATTCTGGTATGCGTTCAAGTTCCTCTCCTGAAGTGGAATAGGCAGTCCACTCCAGCTGGTGGTTGTGATGGAGCGCTTCTTGATACGGGCAGAGGATGCGCTGCGGTTGTACTGGTTTGCGGCACGCTCGGACGAGTTATAGTTGTAATTGTAGTTGTAGTTGGCGCTGCTGGAACGGCTCGTGATAAAGGATTTGAAGGGAGGTAGGCAGCCGACGATCATGGCTTTGCAGGTTAGCGGTGGCTGCAGAGTTAGATACTGGATATAGAACATACAGATTGAGGACTCGGCGATGCCCCAGACGGCCAGAGCGGCTTGATCCGAGTACGCTTTGCCAGTGATTGCCACAGCACGGATAATTGCTGCAGCGATGATGATGAATCCGAGACAGAAGACTGTGGCTAGGCCAAGTTTCTGGTGGAAGTTCATCTTGGTCTTCCACAGGATGCGGAGGGGGAGGTACATAACTGTACATCTCGTTAGCTCTTCTCGGGATAGAACTTCAGGGGGTCGTACTCATCAAGTCGGTAAGAATGTCGACAGCAGTACTGTAGCAGATGGAAATGACGGATCCTCTGATGTCAATCGGTTTGGTGCATTTTCCTGAGACGGTCAGCTCACGTACACCAAATGTCAACGGCCACAATACCGAATCTAAAATAATCTGACGGAGGATGACAGTTCAAGATCGACGCCAGCCAGCACCCAATATACGCAAACACTGCGAACGTCGTAACACCCCACCATACACGACGGTAATGCGGCAAGCCATCCGAAATGAGCCAAAACAGCGCCAAAAATGAACCCTTGATGCTCCAGAGCACCGTCCAGAAAATGCCGATGATGACGAACTCATAATGCGTGTACTTGAGAGCATGATAGACGATGTCAGGCCCCGTGACGTTCAACAGCATGTAATAGAGGTGGGGGGCTTGCAGAGTCTGGAGGATCGCATTGGTGACCAGGAAGACGAGGGCCAGGAGGACAAAGTAATCGTCCACCAGGAGACGCTTCATGCGTTTGATGCGGATACCGAAGCGAACAGACGCGAAGATGATGCCTAACCCAGCCCCAGTCCATGTTACTCCAATGAGTCCATTGACGGAGAGATGAGTTGCAATGCCCTGAGGGGCTATATTGGCCATGAGGAGTCAGATGGGGAGATACGTCTAAGAACTAGAGGCACTCCACGGGGAGGGAATATATTGATAATATATTATAGCCGGAGAAGCCGGCATCGTTGCTATCATTTCGCATGGCTACATGGAAGAAAATCCTGTCAGAAGAGTCAAGATTTGACTTCGTAAGGTGCATACTGACGGAAGAATCGGTCCAACAGCAGTCGAAAGAAGAACGCCCCGTTCGTTCCAGACTTCATGACCCGAAATCTCTCTGAGGAGACTAATCTGCATGGCATGTGAATTACTTGAATGCCAAAACTGTTCGTAAAATGGGGGCGAAATCCCTGCTTTGGGCCGGATACTGGATAACTATCAGAATGGGTATGGACTGAAGAGCGCACTAAGACTGGACAAGGGGTGGTTTCAACATCCTAGTAGATGAGTTTTCATTGCTGAATTTCCGTCAATAATAATAGAAAGTGACAGACATGGGTGCATTGGTCTAGCAAGGATTATGCGAGGCTAAGCAAGCCCTCGTTGCTGCAACCAATTCAACGGTGTTGCAGTAGACCACCGTGGACACTTGACGGCATTTATATCGCGACCCTTGTTCAGTTTATGGACAACACATACCATGATCTTGATAATCAGAACGATCAACAGATCATCACAAAATAGAAGAGTGATAGAATCTTGTCAGAATGGACAGGAAGCTAATCGACCAGATCAATGAAAGCCGAAGAGGACTAAATCTAAGCGAAGCAAAGGAAATGAAGCCATTCCCAGCAGGGAAATGCACCGGAGACGCTAAATCACAAGAACCACGCAGTGCTCCGAGAACCGACGGCATTGATACTACTTATGTCGGTGACTGGAAGGGTCATCTCCGTCCAAAGACTTCAACAGACCATTCAGAGGTTGCTTCGAAATGAAGCCATTGTTTAGCTCCCTCTAGTTTGATGCTAGTGTCTCCCACTCTTCCTCGGTTAAACCGCATCCACTTTGATCAGGGCCCACGGCCCCATTGTCTCGAATCCCGATCCTGGAGATTCTGGCCGGTTGAACAC